AAGTGGATCCTATAGATCTTGCTCCTCTTGTCAGTGGGAATGCTCCCATTGTCACTGCCCCAGCCTCGGAGGTCGGAGACGTAGCTGAGGACATAGTTGAGGACGAGGATATGGATAAGGATACTGATGTCCTGGTGCGAACCATGCAGGAGGTGATGGATAGGTTAGCAAAGCTGAACCAGGAGCTGGAGAGTATGGTGTCCTCTACTCTGGAGGACACAAGCACCCAAGAGCCCCTTGCAGATCCCAACGTTAATGCATGGGACGCAAGGAAGGCCTGGGAGCGGGAGTTTAGCCTTTATCCCGAAGCAAGTAGGGAGGAGGTTTGCCCCAGGATTTATGTCCAGGTTGGGAAGCTGCTCCACAGATTACAGGAGCGGGCAGACCAGCATACCTGGAATAGAGATGATAAATATAGGATGGATGGATTGGCAAATATAGTAGTTCTGCACTTCAGATTGGATAAACTAACTGAGAGAGCTACTAAGTTGTAAAGGAACCATGGCTGATCATTAAACCATCTAGTTATCTCCACATTATAGTATGTATGCATTTATGAATATGTGAATAAATGTAACAACATTAATGCAAGCATGTTTATTACTTTGGGTGTTAATTATTACACAAGCAAGTAATTATATAAAGGTTTACTCCGCCTGATGGAGATAGCCCGAAGTATAATGTTGCCAGGTTGCAAAGATAAGTAATTGTATAAGGGTTAGCTCCAAGTGATGGAGATAACCCGATGTGGTGATCAGGCTGCAAAGATAATTGATCCTATACAAGTTACATAACTTGAAGTGTGATCTTATCAAAGTTTGCTGATTTAAGTTTGCCAATTTAATGCACATTTTTAGTAGTAAGAGAATACTACACAGCTCTGTATGTTTATTTTTTTAGGTGGCACTTCCTTTATACCTCATGAGATAGCTGTTAAAAAACAAGTAATTTTACAATTTTTTACAATTTTTTCAAAAACTTTATTTGTTATCGTTTTTATGAGATAGATGGTAAAAGCTCAAATTAAACACTGTAGGACGCAATCTATTTTCCATCTCTGGAAACTAGATAATAGGGGAAGATTAAATTTATACGAAATCACATGTAGGAGTTTGTGACGTTGCAGTTACCTTTTTTTTTGATTTAAGCACAAGTATGATTGACATATTTATTCTGTTACATATTGGAAAGACAAAACAACAGTACTTAGGTTAGATATAATATATATATTTTTGATTTTTAAATCTACTTAAAAAACATTTTACTGGTTTAGGCACATGAGCTCGGAGAGCCAGTATATCCTGTTCAGCTACGGGTAGGGTAATTAATCAAAATAAAAGAACATTATTTGTCCGATTTACTATCAAGTTTTGTCTTACAAAACTCTCTTATTGTTGATATTGAGATCAATGCATGATCTCATATTCTTGTTAATCTGCAGATTAGTTCAATCTTTATTTGATATCCATGCAAGTGTCTGAAATTCAACCAATCAGAGTGTTGTTTGCGGAATCAGAACAGCCAATCAGAAGCTGTGAAATTTTGCGTGCAACCAATCAAAGAACTTTTATTGGTCGGAACTCAGAAAGGATATCCAAAAGAGAGGATTCAGCAGAACATCAAAAGTGTCCACAGTGGATATAAAGGGTATCCAACACAAGAGTTTTCGGCTCTGTACAAATTGCTCTAGTTGGTATGAAATTTGTACTGCATACTGGAGGCTCGGTGCTGCATAGCAAATCTGGGAGGCTCATAGGGAGGGGGGTGCAAATTCGTCATTGCACCCCCCTTTCAGAAGAAAGGGGGGTGCACCTGCACCCTTGCACCCCCCCCTGGTTACGGGCCTGAGAGAGATAGAGAGAGAGATAGGGAGAAAGAGAGAGAGATATTCACGTATAAAGAGGACGGAAAAGGGATGGGGAGAGGGGCAGAGTATGGAGATGAGGCTGAATAAAACTGTTGATATTTACTTAAGACTTTAATATGAGACTTTAGAGACCACTTTAAATTATCTTTGATTTCCGATAGCCAATGAATTGAAAAACCTGGATAAAAATAAATTGAAAAACCTAGATAAAAATGAATTGAAAATACCTGGATAAAAATGAATTGAAAAACCTGGATAAGAATGAATTGAAAAACCTGGATAAAAATGAATTGAAAAACCTGGATAAGAATGAATTGAAAAACCTGGATAAANGAAAAACCTGGATAAAAATGAATTGAAAAACCTGGATAAAAAAGAATTGAAAAACCTGGATAAAAATGAATTGAAAAACCTGGATAAAAAAGAATTGAAAAACCTGGATAAAAATTAATTGAAAAATACCCCTTTTAGTAAATCGCTGAGTTAAAGACAATAAGTTTGATATCCAGCAAAGGAATTTAGTTTTTTTTTGTCACACACTCTGATTTTAAAATCATAGACCTTTGATATTTCCATGAGTTCTGTCAGATCATCTAGTCTAAGCCTAAAATATCAATAAAGAATTAAATTTAGTATTAATTTGTGTAACAAACGTAACAAACTTAAAGCCCCTTGGGGACTTTTCGTTATTGTCTATATTTGGTCCTAGAAGTACAAATAGCATCTACTGTTTTTATTCAGGAAATTCTTGATATAATTTATTCTGATACAGTCATTATCAAGATAGATGTAGAAGGTCATGAATGTAAGGTAACCATTTTTCAGACAATGTATAATTTTCTTTTGAAATCTGCAAAGGAATTTTTCACCTATTTCAAAATTCTCACAATACTACATTTTAAGAGGAATAAAACAACTAACTAACTCAGGCCCAAAATTTATAAAGTGTTTAGCAGAAAAGAACATAATTTTTGCCATAACCTCAAATTTTCTAATCCGGATCTATATATTTGAAACCTTAAATTATTAGATTTAGCAAAATGTTTAGTTTTAAATATCAAAGGTCTATAAGATGGTGTTGAAAAAATATTTGGATTGGAAAATCAGATTTTGTAGCAAAAACACATTCCCTTAATTTTCTTTAATTAGCTTTAATTTGCTTTGATTTGATTAATAAGGCATAATTATCTAATATTTTATACACCCGAGTATTAAAAATTTAGGAAAGTATTGAATTGGTATTCAATGACAAAGTCTTATTTATGTAAATCACTGAAAATTGACGCTTAACCTAAAAACCAAGTATTTACAAAAAAATGAGATATTAACGATAAGAAATGGTAAATAATGATTAAAACTTATATACATATATATAGCACATTTGATTTGAAAGAAACAGTTAGAAAATATAAAATCCTGTTTTGATTTAAAATATTTTTTTTTGCAGGCTCTTATTCCCTATTTAACGGAGAACATTAAGGAATTTATGCATCTATATAATAATATATTAAGTTGTAATCTCTGTTTGTCTGTCTGTCTGCTTGTTTGTCCGATCATAACTCAGGACCCGTATAGACCCAGCCACTCCTAAAGTGTGACTAGGACAGTCTCTGCGCCTAGTTTAGTCATCAGGCCTTTTCTTTAATATGTTCATATTTACAGACAAAACCATGTCTTATTGATATATCTTATTTTTCCACAACTTTGAGTTTGAGTTTATTGGGGGGAAAATCCTAAGAATTTGTTTCTATCTTCCTGTCTATCTTCTTATCTTTCTATCTATGTCATGGATTTATAATCTTGAACCAGATGTTAAATTTTCAGACACCTCCCCTTTCTATGAAAAAATTGTCTTCTCCCCCTATCCTCTCCCTCTCCTCCCCCCATGTCTTATAGCTGTTACAGGAATAGCTTGTTTAGTCAATTTTCCAGTCAAAATTAGCCAGATCTAGTTTAAACTGTTTAGATTGTGACTTATTTTGACAAAATGCAACTTAAAATTGCTTTTTTGTTTAACAAAATTTCATAAAAAATGAGATATAACAAAAATGTAAACCATTTATTTGCATTTTTGAATAGATAACTGGAGTTCTGTTTCGCGGATTTTTTTTTTCAATGTTCAAAAATATTTTGAAATTTTTAAATCACATTTTATTTCCTATGTCTTATAAAATACTAAAAAATTGGATAAAAATCAATAATCCACTCTCCCCTATCTTTCAGGTTCAAATCAATGAACCCACACTATCCCTATCATGGGACAATGTTGGTAATGTTAGCTTGGCTTGGTGCTATAAATAGGCAAAGATAGAATAACGGGGCATAGTTTTTCCCCTCACTAATATATACATAGTTTTTCAAAAAACCATTCTCATAGCTAGGATTACATTACAAGATGCAGAACTGAAAGAGGAGGTAATTAAGCTAGTCATAGATAACTTCTCAATGTTGGCTTTACATCCTAATCACTACAGGAAGACAGATATATTGAAGCTGAGGATAGAGTTAGAGCCGGGAGCAGTGCCAACAAGACCCTTAAATCCAGATCAGAGAGTGAATCTCAAGGAGCAATTGGATGAGTGGATCCAACAACCCAACAACCATAAAACCTGTGAAGAACACAAGATTAATTGGTGTATTTTAAAAGAGTGACCCGTCAATATCCTGTGATAATTCATGTGTTGTCGAGGTGAATGTTGACGATTTGATCATGGGTCTAGGACCGAGTTTTTACACAGTGAAAACTTGAATTTATTTCACAAGATAAACACGGATTTTTACATGAGAAAATTATTTTTCTCCCATCTACTTCAATTACATTTTTTAAAAACCCCAGGAAGGGGGGGGGGATATAATTACATTAAGCATCTTGAACATGTAAACTTTAAACTTTTCTTATCAAAAAGTGATATTTCAAGTCTAAATAATGTTCATTAAGTTAATGTGTTCATAATTGTAAGAATGCTCCTTCCTTCATATATCTAAAAGATGGATATTCCAAATACAATACAATGTGAAACTTTTCTATACTATGCTCATGCTTGTTATAATCTGAAAAATTTATGTCAGTTAAACTATTTCATTTTACTACAATAAACTTTTAGTTCCTAAAAGATGAGCAGAGACACCAAGTGTTGTGATTTTGCAACTCTGTTAAAAATGAAAGATGAAATTCTTCCCCTGATATCTCAAATATTTTAAGCATGATATTTACAAGAATTAAAATCTAGATATGCTGGCATTCCGGTCATGATTAACACGCTGGGAATATGCCAGTCCTTGCACTGGTATCTTTGCTACGAGCACAACATGTGAAAAAACGACAAGAATTGGACTATAGAATTATCTCAAATATATTGCACATGATAATTACGAGAATTAAAATTAAAAAATTCTGGCATTGCATTACTTGAGTTTAACACAACAGGAATATACAAGATCTTGCACTGGTTTAATTTGCTATGTGTACAACATGTGAAATAACAATGAGAATTTTCAAAGAATATTTTCGCTTTTTTTACCCGTGCTTTACACAGGAGGAATCTTTAAGATTGTGAAAAGTAGATTTACCACAAGTGTATTTAGTGAATTAATTACGTGAATTATCAACCAGTTCTCCATCATGCTAATCTCATTGAAAACCTGTGCTTTGTTTGTTGGGAAGGGATTATTGAACCAGCAAACAGTCCCTTGGCATCACCACTAGTTTCATTCAAAAAGAAGGATGGAAGGACAAGATGGGTTACAGACTTGAGGCAGCTGAATGACATCACTATCAAGGATGCTTACCCTAATACCGACATCCAGGAGAATTTGCAGAAATTAAAGGGAGCAAAGATGTTCACATCAATTGAAGCATGTGGCCTGTACCAGGCCATTCAGATAGCCATTCAGATAGAAGTTGGGAGTAGGGATTGTACAGCATTACATTAGTCCATTAGACACATTCGATTATATACGGATGCCATTTGGTTTGTTGAATGCAGGCAGTGTGTATAGCCAGATGTTAGATTTGGCACTTGCCCATTTGCCAGTGGAGTACTGTTTGTCATACCTTGAGGATATTCTGGTGTACTCTATGGATACTTGGGATCATCTAAAGCATTTGAGGAGCATTGTGCAAGCACACACAAAAGCAGGGGATCAATTTCCAATCTAAGAAGACCAAGATATTACAGACTGAGACCAAATATTTAAGACATAAAGTGAGCCAGGGAGGAGTACAGATGTTAGATCAATATGTGAAGGATATACAAATTGGCCATGCCCAACTAGGTTTTACAGGTTACTACAGAGGATTTATACCCAGGTATAACTCCTTTGACCAACAGGATGAACAGTATGAAGAAAGCGGAGAAATTTGTTTGGACTGAAGACATGGAGAAGGATTTTCTCCAGTTGAAGGCAGAGTTTTCAGCAGGATGGATACAGGCATATCCTGATTTTGATTCAGAGGAACCATATATCCTTACGACAGATTGGTCGGCTTTGAATAATGCAGGAGTTCTGTCACAAAAAGAAGATGGTGTGGAGCACTTCCTGGCCTGTTGGGGCCAGAAGTGCAATTGGTATGAGGCACATTATTCAAGTGCTAAAGTTGAATTGTTGGCTTTGGTGAAGTGCATGACGAAGTGGGAGCATATTCTGAAGTAACAGATCCCCTCTTTAGTGTATATAGATGCTGCTAGCTTGAAGTATATAGTTAACTTTAAGTCAGAAGCGACAATATTTCAATATTGGTATGCAGAGTTGGCACAGTTTGAAATTATAGTGATCCATAAAAAGGGAAGTGAAAATGTGAATGCAGATGCTTTATCCCAAGCTAAGCATCTAGATGAGCCTACAGAAGAAGAGAATAAAGAACATTGTGAAGATAATGAAGAGGGAGAGATGAAGATAACCTTAGCTTCAGAATTAAAGGGGAACCCAGAGGAGATAGG